GCTTGGTTTTTTCTACTTTTACCTTTTTCATGCTTGTGTATGTGTAATACAACATGAAGAATTTAAATAGCGTTAAAAAGCACTCAAGCATTAAAATGACAAATTTGCCGGCAACAAGGACAAGAACACCAACAACAATGAAGACAACAGTATAGCTTACAAAAGGGGTAAACTTTTATTGTAATCCATTAAAGCAAAATAAATTGCTATCAAATCGCGTACAGCTACAGATTTTGACATTAAAAGAAGAAATCAAAATGAAAGTAAATAATTATAGGAGAAAAAAAAGTCAACCCTTTTCAACCAGCTAACGCTTAGCAAGGATTGATAGCGAAACCATAAAAACAAGGTGTAGAAATCAAATGAGACCCCAATTTACTACAATCGAGACTACGTTTAGATTTGCTATGAAAAGACGTAAGAATGTAAGAATTACTTTAGGCGAAGATTGCATTCGCAAAATTATTGCCTACTTTTAGGTTATTTATATGGTAATTTTCGGTTAAGCAGCCTAATCAGGTAACAATTCATTTTCCTTTACTGACCCTTTTTACTATGCACTCAGTTTATTTCATTTACTTTGCAATTAGCATTTCGTGTTTGTATTTCATACGTCTCTATATATATATGTTAAGTTAATGTATTTATATGTGCATATATATACGTATATACCTATACATACATCCATTTTCCAGCCCCTAAATAGGTAGGCAAATAATCTGCCTATTATATATATGCATGCATGGATGTATATGAATGTATGCATTTATGTATGTATGTATGTATGTATGTATACATATGGCCTCAGAGTAATTCAGTGCAATTTCATTTGCACTCCACTTAACGTTTATAGAATGCATTCGTCGGCATATAAACACATGGACGGCAAATAGCCGACCATAAACATTGCGGTAATTAATCAGAAAATTAACATCAATGCTTCATTTAATATTAAACGTTCGCTTCTGCTTGTTGTGTTGACCAATGTCCTTTTTTTTCTCTCTCTTATAAACACATAGAAACAGTGGAACAGTAATTGTATATCTGCCATTATCTGCACACTTTCATATATATTTTCATTCATATATATATATATATACATGCGCGTACATATCTATATATATATATGCACATAATTGCGTGTGGGTTTAACTGTTTGTTTGCCTGCTCAAGTATGGCGTATAATGGCGGTTGTAAAATAAACAACATTTATATATGTATATAAAATGTATATGTATTTGAGTTTACTTTCGTAAATGGATGTCTGTTCGTAAACCAACAACAGTTATTCATTGCAATTCTCTTATTCACCAGCAACAATAACACTAATGCGCGTTATTTGCTGCCGGCTGTTTTGTTGGTTGATTATTTACAAAGCTACCAGTAACCAGACGACTGGCGCATTTACATGCATATATAAACGAAGGGAAACATTTTATCGCTAAGCAATGCGTTTTAAATTTTTTTTTAAATTCTGAAAATTCGTTCAAAAAAGACAAATTGAAGGTTGACTGACGAAATGTTGTTGATGCAATCGATATACAGTTACAACCGACTTACGGTTACATTCGGAGTTAGGTAACTCGCAAAAGAATTATTTCACCCATTTTATGCTCCAATTGACAACTAAATCATGTCTTTTTTTCATGCCCTACATCGCTTGTCCTTGGAAGTTATGTTAAGTTTATATATATGTAAATAAGGAATACGTTTTGTTGCATCAATCGATTCCGAATCACTTTCTGATCCGATCACAGATTGTTAAATGAAATTGGTTACAACGCTGTTGCAAATGGTTCGGATCGGGTCACTTTCCGCCTGTTTCCCGTGTAATGCATTTTTCGATAAGTCGTCATACGAATAAGAGTAAGCGAAATTGCATATAGTATTTCATGGGCAGCCATGGCCCGCCTTTCATGTTTTGACTTGTCTTATCAGCGAAATTAAATAAAAATTTTGGAAAGCCAGGCTCTTAGTTGGAGAGTGCGTAACCTTTATCTGTTATAGCAGAAGGACTCACAATTGAAGCGCAAAACAAAACAAGTCCATGAATTTCATTGTCATCCCGTAGAAAATTTTGATACTCGAAAATTTTATATTGATACCAATCGGAATCATTTCGTAGACCTTCTTTCTGCACATTGTTGCAGTTACGGAACACTAAAAATCTTGCATAAGAGATCAAAAGTTGCGGAGATTTATTACTGAGACCAGCTAAGTGTTATTCATTAGCTTTTCAGATAGTAGTGTCTGTTGGATAGTCAGCTATTTAGGCAGGCCCTTGTTAAGTACGTTTAGTCATAACTAAACTTATCCTCAAAAGAGCTTGGAAATCAGCGAAACAATCATATCTCAATTATGCTCATAATTGCCATACCACGATTGATCGGGGATGAACAAATAGGTGTTGCGTATAACGAAAAATTTTTATTTCCAAGCTTTTCAAAATATCATATCATATATAAAATCGTATAACTTCGGACAGCTGTAGTGGTGTTAGCGATAACACTTTTGATCTTTTCAAAAGCGCGGAAACATCCGAATTGCGTTTGCTGACGAGACATCGCTTTTTGGTGAGAAGCAACGTTGTTTAATGCTTAGCAGTGTTGTTAGCAGTGTTAATTTGTCTGCATTGTGCTAATTAGATTATACTATGCATTGTTGTACATACCAAAAAATTTATTTATATACCTTCTTGTCATTTACTCAAGATTTCTGACAAGTGTACGCGAACCCTTGACCCAATTTACCAGGCTTTCAAATCTGACTTGGCATTCTTAAAGGAAAAACGAAGGCTTATAGTAGACGCAATCGCCATGAAAAAGTGCATTTTGGTTTTAATAGAAACGCTAGTAATTCGGATTAGAAAGAAGTTAAAACATTATGGTTGGGCAAGACCGATCATTATATTCCATACACCACTTCGGCTGCTGCAATTATTTATTTATTTTCGTCAAAAATTATAATTTCTTCTCATGCAAAACTTTAGTTTCCGCGAGAGCCTTCATTACCGAGAATTTCGAAGGGTATACCTTTTTACTCCAAACTTGTTATGTAGTAAATTTATGGGTCAAAACATTTTTCTTTTGTCAATTTTCACAGATAAATACTAAAAGCTAGTCGTCATCGCCATATCAAGGTTTGTTTTTTTTTTTTTTTGCGAGATGGGAAGGGAGAATGCCAAAATAATTTTTGGCGGTTTTTATTGAGAGATATTACAAGTCAAAAGGAAGTCGCCAAAAAAGAAAAGCCGAGTCCAGTCCATTTTGAATAGAGTATGCCGCTGGATCAAAATATGTCAGTGTATTTAATATCTTGACTTCTAGGTTGAACACAGAATTAGGTGGACAAGTATCAGACAGACAGATGGACAGACGCGGTTATTAAAATTTAGAAAATGCTTAAGAAATATTTCTACCGAGGAAAATGTTATGGGTCAAGAAAATAAACCTAATTCGAATGCAGTTAACAAATGTTAACACAATCTTTCTATTTGCCTTAAATGACTTCAATTTCGAGACCATAGATTAAGAAAAGCAAAAAAAACATTTTGCTTAATAATTATGGGACAATGACAAAATACATTTCAAGTCCTGTTTTCTAGCTAAACTTTTAAAATCGTAATGGGGATTTAAATTGGCGAACTGAGAGACATGCACATCTAAATCGAGTCCCCTACTGACTGCAGGCAAAAATGCGTTAGTTATAAAATATGCCATCTTTAACGTCGATTTCAAACCTTTGCAAACCTCTTCTTCTTTTCATCTTTTCTGTCCAATATAAGCTCAGAACATTTCGATCATTTCTTATTATATATCAGATTCATGAGCAGGTGTTAATTTTAAATGAATCCATAGGAAAGGCGATGGTGTAATTCATTCATCTTACTTATCGTTTTACTTATTTGCCGTAATAGGCTTTAAATCTCTCGAGACGATTGAGTTTGATTTGCCTTTGTCTAATTAGTTCACTAAATGCCATTATTCTGGGCACTTAAACTATCAATTATTATAATGAATTGTCATACGATAGGAAGGAAGGGCAATCGACCCTTTAAAAATCAAATTTCAGTTTTGGTGAAGTTCCCCACAAAAAAAATTGTTTTCCAATTATATATGTATTTTTATTCTTCTTTATTGCACGTATAAATTGATTGAAATTTTTCTGTTTTTCTTTTTTTCCTCGACTCCGTGTTTTATGGTAAACACAATGAGTGGACATCACAGTGACTATCAATATGTCTACTATTGAAGTGATTGATTTCACAATACGTACAGATTTGGTTTTGTTTTTTTTTTTTATTTTGTTCATCCAAACCTCATGGGTATTACATATAGGTATCCTTGCTTTCTCCCACCACCCAGTTACGTTTTATACTCAATAAAAAAAAAGAAAAAAAAAAAAACAATAACAACAACAATATGATGACCAATGTTTATCATATGAATTGTAGGTATAGAGCAGTGCTTGACATACGTGTTGTTTTTCCTATAATTGATTGCAAATTTATATTCCGTTATCACAAACGATAAATGCAAACTAAATTTGTCATTTCGTTTGTAACATTCAATAAAAGTTGTTCGTAAACTCTGTGTACGTATGCACCTATGTACCTGCGAGTGAGTCTGTCCGCAAAGCTACACATTCCTAATTGGTACAAGTACCGTCGGAGCAGCTGTTCAAAACTACTTTTAAAATGCTTGTTGTAAAAGCGTAAGGATCTGCTGGGTGCTAAGGAGTGGAAAGAAAGACAAGAACTAAATAAGTGCCATCTGTGTATGGTAAATAGACAAAGCAAAAATATTGATCTAAAATTTGATATTGAAGCTTATCCGTGTGCCTTGTTATAGGCTTGAGAAAGCAGGTACTCAACATTCGTTCTAAACCCTGTCTTTTGCTTAGTCTTGTTCTGCTTCCAGTCAAACAGTAATTTGTTGCGTACAAGAAGAGAAAGGTGATATGCTTATCATTTTTTGGATTTTCTTTGATTTAATTTTCAGCCCAAGACCTGAACGATATGGACCAGGATGACATGTGTGATGACGGCATGAGTGATATTGATGATCACGCAAGTGAAACAGATTCGAAAAAGGGTGGCAGTCGTAATGGCGATGGTAAATCACAAAACGGTAGTTCAGGTAGTGGTGGAGGCGGCGGCGGCGGCGGCGGCGGGGGTGGTGGTGGCGGTGGTGGTGGTGGTTCGAAACCACGCAGAGCACGGACCGCATTTACATATGAACAGCTGGTGTCATTGGAGAATAAATTTAAGACCACTCGTTATTTGAGTGTTTGTGAAAGATTGAATCTGGCATTGAGTTTAAGCCTAACAGAAACGCAGGTAAAACAGAAGAATAAACACACTGGCGATTATGTGAAAGATAATTTGTACTGAAGAAGTTAATTAATATGATATTTTCTTCGTCTACTTCTTCTTCTTCTTCTTGTTTTCAGGTGAAAATTTGGTTTCAAAATCGTCGCACGAAATGGAAAAAGCAAAATCCTGGTATGGATGTTAATAGTCCTACTATACCACCTCCACCATCTGGTGGCTCCTTCGGTCCCGGTGCCTATGCCAGCAGTCTCCTTTATTCGCATACCATGCCCTATCCGCCTTACGGTCCCTATTTTCATCCTCTTGGTGCTCATCATCTTAGCCATTCGCATTCATAAAAATGCAAAATGCAACAAAAATTGTTGCGCTATCTTGATCGCCATAAGCTGCATAGTACTTCAAACTATTGTGATGTGTAAGATTAAACACCTTTTTCTAAAACTTAATTACATTTATGTGTTTTCTCTTCTTAAACATTTTTCTGAAAAACATTGTAAATAATTGTATTTAAATAAAAAACAAAAGACATAAAAATTATTCGCTTGTAAATTATTTACAAAATACAATTAATGGTTTTAATTAAGTTACGATAACAAATAATTATTGGAAAATTATATATATGTATGTCCATCGTATAATTAATTGTAATTAGTTATTTAAAAATTTAAGATTTAATATTACAAAAAAAAAAAAAAAAATGTTCAAACCAAAGAGAAAATCAAAAAGAAAAAGAATTACATAAAAAAGAAGAAAAAAAATTAAAGAAAGAAATAAATAAAATTGAATAAATTTAAATAATTTGTTGTTTATTTAGACCCACCTTCTGTTATACCACTTCATCTAGAATTACTTTTTCGTTTACTTCCCAGAGAAATTTATGAGGCCAAACAGACCGTAGCTAGGGCAGAGTGTAGAATGGTCCGAATCAAAGCATTGACCGTCGGATAAGAATAATTCAAACGTCTGTCTATCTCCACAAGTGTTTATGCACTGGTCACTCCGCAAGATAGAAAGTGAAAGGTCTATTTTCCGGACTCTCCTCTACATAGGTAATCTCATAAAAATTTAGTTACTAATATAACTTATTACATAATAATACCATGAAATTGTAAAAAGCAAAAATGTAATCATTTCCATCCAGTAATAGATGGGTAATAAAAGAAGAATAAGAAGAACAACTGTTCTATATTATCAGAAAAGTCAATGCAAATAATAGATTGAAACGGCCTTTCTGAGATATAAAATACTTTGAATGAAACACTAATGAATTGCCAATCTGTTTTTAAAAACGCAAGAATTCAAAACAAAGGTTATAAAACAAAATAATACTAGAACTGCTTAGCTAAACTGGCCTTTTTTATTGATTTTCTTGGTGTCCGAAAATATGATAAACATATTTAATTTTTGATTTCTGTGATAAAACAGTAGTGAATTTGTTCCGTTATAATGGTCTCACATGCATTTCTATTAGAGCCGATTAGATGTTGTTGTTGAAAAGGGCTGCGATTATACCACGAGGGTGTTCACAATTGTAGAGAAAATCTCGCATCTAAAGAATGCTCAAGGCACTGTCTAAAGCGTCAAATCTCTCTGCTCGAATTAAAAGAAAATTTATTAAGATCTCTTTGAACACATGAGTCTATTGATTGAATTTTTATATTCTTATAGTAATAAATATGCGGCAATCATAGATGTCTTCTCACCTAAAGGTTTTTCCACAAGAACTGAGAAATTCACTTTTCGTAACAATGAAATTTCGTGTCTAAATTAACGCTTCATAGTCTTTGCAAATCCTCCATAATTTTATAAGGTTTGAAACTTTCAAAAATTGCTTTTCAAAGTAAGGCGGGAGGCTAAATGAAGAACGAATAAAAATGACTTAACTTCTTTTAAAGGAGTACTTCGTTACAATATGAAAGTAAGAAGATGTAGAATGGGAACTAAATACCTTTAGCGTTTTTGTTTTTTATCGAAAAGTTGACCGAAAAGTGATTATTAATTTTCTTTGAAAGGACATTAAATTAAATTATATTCACTAGAGTAAATGCTTCTTGAATACGAATAAAAAGACTACCGTTTTTCATATTTGGATTGCTTTGCAACACCAATCGCCCAAATGAATCCTTTTCATTATAATATCAAAATAAACAATGACAACAAAAACAATAATAAAAATAAAAGCAAAAAACAAAAGAAAAAAGAATTGGAAAAAAGTAACAACAGCACCTTATCTTATGACCAATACAATACGAATGCATTTAAAATGAAATTATGTATTAAAATGGCTAAATTGTTTGACAACGGAAACCAAGTCGAATGGAAAATTTTAAATTATAGTCGACACACACTCGCCGCGACGGGTTGATATGTAAGAGATGGCGAACGAGAGAAAAAGCACTGACATAACATTCAATTATGTGAAAGTGAATGGAATTTCTTAATCGGCTTACAGTCCACACCACCACAGAAATGTACATTTGGATCAAAGCAAAACCGTATAAAATAAAAACTTGCCATAAAATGATGGAAAGCGCAAAGAATGAAGGGACAAGCATGCAGACAGACGGATAGACATGCGTGGGTTTATTTGACGTTAAACGTGAAAGCACATACACAAGTCCAGTAGATATTATATGCAAATGAAAATGAAAAGAAAATTATGAAATCGCAATTGACTTTCACCGAATTTTAGATACCCTTCTCCCTAGCAATCACATAATATGTCGTTAATTCTAAGCAAGTCAATCGTGTGGTCGGCACTACTTTCCCTCTAAGTCTTTGTACAATTTTAGTAAGAAGTATTCTGGAGTCGGCTTTGCCTAGTGAGTGAAAGTTTTTTGAGGATGTATTCTTTGGGAAATTTAAGCAAGAAGAAAGTTTATTGCCCACTCAAAAATATTACCGGGTTTAACTTATACGTTTAACTTATACGTCAATATTTTGAATATTTCGACTTTATAGGGGTTTTTGTAAACTGATCGGGTCCATTCCGGCATACAGTTTCTAGCTAACAACTAGCAATACCTGAGCGAAATTTTGTTACTCTGTTTGTTAACTTTTACGATCGTGGGTGTCGTAATAGTGATAGGACGGATAGACGGATGAACAGTCGAGCACGCATCGTTACATACCATAGTAACAATTCTAATATATCCTTATTTCTTACTAGCAGTCTGTATGAAAAATTATTTCATTCAGTCTATGAGTAATAAAAATATTTAACTTAATTTATAAAATTGACTTCTTTTAGCAAAATAGTCAAAAATAACAGAGTAAAAAAACAAAAATAAAAAAGAAGAAAAGAGAAACGCTTTAGCAAAGAAAAATATGTTTTTTCTTCTTTTTGCTTATAACCAATTGCGAGTTTTATTTTTTTTCCACTTTTCTTTTATTCTTTCAAAAGACTGCGATATTATCAATTCACACTCAGGCTGCTCAACTGTCAGAAAAAGCTTATACCGAAACCAACACTTTATTATGTGTGTTCTTCTCAGTATAATCTAGCTATGAAACAACAAATCCACCAACACCATCATCATCATCATCACATGCAAGCGCACCAATGATCATGGGCAGATACACTCAGGCGGTATATGCGTACGTACCGTACTCTTACCAGCCTTTTATATATCGTTTCATATGCTCTCGCTTACATATTTGTTAATGGTAAGGGAACATGGAATATTCAGTAATTTTCGACAAACTTACCATCATCGTCATCGTCATCATCATCATCATCATCATCATCATCAACGCTTATATATAAATACACCCATAATACATACGTATGTATATGCATTTCTTCACTCATTGTTAAATTGAATTTATACGTTGTGGAATTTATTTGCATATTAAAATAATGATGTATGTATACTGCATATCTATATATATATATTACAAATGTTTGTGAATATATGTGCATATAAATGGTTTGCATATACTCACATTCATTTAATTATGTATAGAGATAGTGGTGTAAGCATCTCATACAATGTAATGCTTAAACTGCTATTTTTCATATAATTTATTAAAATCGTATGTTTTTTACTTTTACTCTTAATTTTCATTTTAGTTATTGTTGTTGTTGTTTTTTGTTTTTTTCTGTTTCAAGCATTTGCTTTTAATCTTTACTTAAGTACTGTGCAATTAGTTTCCTCAAATCCTATTTGTAGTTAATAAAATATACACATACATATAGACGTAAGCCCCCACACGAATACACATTCGTAAATCACATATTTCTCTCAATTTTCCATGTAAATGCTAATGCGTGCTTATATGGAGTATGCAACTCGTATCCTGAGTATTGGTATTGAATACTGACTGACATGTGTTAATTTCATTAGCAATTAAATTTTAATGGATTTCTCATTTGCAATACATACAAATGAATTATATATATGCATATATTCATACACATATATCTGCATATGCCAACAGGCTCTCTTCACTTTAGATAGTAATAAAGATATATTTTGTGTGTGTTAAAAAATGTTTAAAGCCTGCTAATGCTTACGCGGTACATAATATTAATGACTCTCTCACTATCACATGGCGTGATTTTCCTTCTACACACTACTACTACTACTACTACTACTATTACTATTACTAATGCTACTACTACTGCTACTCTTTTATCATATTAGTCTTTTCGCACATTTTTTTCCACACAACAGAAACAGGCTTTGCGTAGCTTATACCCTCTTAGGGAAACTTAATGTGAAAGTTTTTTACTGTCAACATCATTTCTTCATCTATTATTCGGAATAAAATTATCAGTTATGTACCGTCATCTAACTGCTAATAACATAGTACTGCTATGAGATTCTTATCGAGTCTTCTCTTCAATTTTCTTTGCTCATAAATTTTTAAAGGTTTTCCTTAAGTGCGTTTACTGTTTTGAAGGAATTTTTACGGTAAATAATTGTGATTGCTCTGAACTTATCATATTCGGAACATCTATTTGTTTGAAGAGGACTCTTCAGGAGAATAAAGCTTGTAATAATCAAGAGCTCTGCTTTGCTTTATACGAGATATTGATTTCTTCTTCTTTCTCTTCACCCGATTGCATTAACTAATCACCAAAGTTGTAAGGCATTGGATCTACATACATCATATGAAAGTTCCTATGGTATTTACATTAATTAATATGTAGTCACTAATTATTAAATTCTCTCATTTAGTGACTATGATTTTGTGCATCAACTTCCAATAGACGAAGGAAGAAGTGCGTGGCGTTTTTTTTTATCATAATTCTTATATTTTGAATAAAGTTTCTCTAAAACAAATATGCTTCCGTTTATTCTATTATAAGTTTTTGTGTTCTCCGATGAAACCATTATTCCCGTACCATAGAACTTCTCGGATATCTGGGCACTAAATTAAACTAAATCATTTGAACAAGAGCGACACAGTACATCTTTTGTTGTGTATTTGCCAAC